AAGAAGCATATTGCATCCTTTTTCCTGTTTGTGGCTTGTGCCTTCCAAACACCGTGTTATCATTCCTGGTCCAGCTGGGTTTTCCTTTTTCTGTTTCCATTGCAAAATACCCGAAAGGCGAGCAGCGCTGGTCACGGAATCCAGAGCAGCCGGCAGCCGGGTCCTGCCTTGCACTTTGTGGCTTGGGCTTGTCTTCTCTTCAGGAATAAGTGGTTCGTTTCTTCCTAGGTTTTTTTTTTTTTCTTTTCTTTTCTTCTGTAAATGGGGGTAAAGTGTCCAGTGTGGAAACAGCTCTTTCATTTGAAGAATCTGTCCATTCTGGCTCTGCATCGTGGCTCATTAACTGAGTAGTCTACACAGGCCACGGAACGGGAGGCAGAGGGAAGCCGATTCTTTCCTAGTGTCTGTTTTGATCGCAGTACAAACATTTGGCAAACCTTGGTTATGAGTCTTCATGCTCTTCCTCTGGGTCCCGAGTTTTTTGGTCTCTGGGAAATGATAGCAAACTAATTGCTTCCTGACGCCTTCTAATAGGATCAAACACATGCTGAATGCAAAACTAGACTGCATCCACATACTCCTCTCTAAAAACTTCTGTTTGTCATTTCAGTAAACTAATAGACTAAATTTATAATGACATAGAAGGAATGTAAAATTTTAGGCAGGGCCGAGGAGAAAACAAATAGTTCAAAAGCAAAGAAGACTTGCACATTGAGTCACTGACCTGAAGCTAGCGTTGGATGACGTTTCTTGATTTTGAGAGGATTCTCGTGGTGCATATTTGATAGCTGCTTTGTTCTCTCCATTCTACCTTAGGCTCACCTTGGCCTCCAGCCAGGCAGCACATCTTTACTGAAGCTGCCTTGTGCCCGGATGTTAGGCATGGGAGACAGGCAGAAAACTGTACAGAGCCCTTAATTCCCGTGAGGGTAATAGACAGGGATCACTCAGCTAAATACATCCTTTCAGGACCTGACACTTTTCAGACATGAAAAGTGCTGTAAAAATAGTGAAATAGGGAAATGAGGAGGGAGGAGAGAGCTGGGGGGACTCTCAAGCTAGGGTGTTTGGGCAAAGCTCTGACGAGGTGATGAGAGAATGGAGAGCCACAGGATGAGAATGGAGGGGCGTCCTTGTGACAGAGGACGCACTCTAGACAGCAGGGGATAGATAAGGAAGGAAGGAGCTTGGCAGCCACAGTATGCTAAGCAAGAACATACTAACAGCTGAGAAAGGAGTAGACAGGGGCAGAGCCTGGATGGTGGGGAAGGTGTTGCTGTAGATGAGGCTGGAGTTGACAGTGGCTCGGATCAGGGCTAGAGCAGTGGAGACAGATGTAGTGAAATCCATTCATTCTAAGCGTGAACTAAGGGCGTGCACACCATGCACCAAGGACTGCTTCAGGCACTGGGGATGTCCTGTTGGGTGAAGTAGAAGATAATCCCGTCTTCCTGGGGCTGACACTGTGCTAGGACAGATCAGAGGGAGAGACCCCGGGGTGAGAAGGCGGCCACAGGAGGGCAGACATGCCCTGGGATGGGGGGGGGGGGTAATGAATGGGGCAACTGAGAAACAGTGCCCTGAAGAGGTGGGCGTAATGGTGGGAAGACCGTCCTGGCTTCCCACAGGCTTGGGAGCTGGAGCCAAGAGGACTGTTTTTTTTTCAGCTTTTTTTGGAGATATTATTGACATTAATACAGTTCACTTTAAGGAGTACAATGTAGTGATTGGATACGTGTATTTATTACAACACGATTACCATGAAAGAGTGAGTTAACACCTCCACATCCTCTGACAGAAGTATAATGTGTGTGTACAGTGTGTGCATGTATCCAGATAACATTGAAGATCTACTCCCCGAACCACTTCCAGGAATCCAGTGTTGTCAGTTCCAGTCACCGAACTGTGTCCTGGCTCCCCAGATCTGCTTTATCTCAGAGCTAGGACTTTGTACCGTTTGGCCAACACCTCCCCACTTCCCCCACCCCCAGCCCCTGACACCTACCATTCCAACTCCGTTGCTGTGCGTTCGGCTTTTTTTAGAGTCTATGTATCCATGAGACTGTAAAATACTTGTCTCCCCGTCTGACATTGCAGTTAGCACAGTGCCCAAGAGGGACAGGATCTTTGTGGTGTCCGGGGAGAGAAGAATCAGGAATGAGCCCTTGACTTTGGACACAAGCAATTCAGAAAATGAGAGTGTCTGTGACCAAGATAGGAGAGCGCAGGAGGCAGATTTTGTCCGGGAAAAGGAATGCATTATTGGACCCTAAATGGAGATGTTGAGTAGGCAGATGGATATGCGACTTGGGAGCTGCCACTGGCATACACTTGACAATGATCTCGTGTATGGGTGGCACAGGAAGCCAGTTGTCCACGTGAGAGGACAGAGAGGGGGGAGGCCAAGGCCAGAGGCCAGCATTTAGAGGTCAGGTAGAGCACAAGGGTGGTGAGTGGGTGTGTGGAATCAGAGAGGCCTCGAGGAGGCGGCAATGTCAAATGACTGGAAGGATCAAGTAACATGAGGACAGGGAACTGTCATCGGCTTTGGTAATGTCATCAGGGGCTTTGCAAAGAGCTGTTTGGTACCATGACTGGGGCAGAAGCTTAGCTGGCAGGGTTTGGGGTTAAGACTAAGAGCTGGGACTCTCCAGTAACCACATGTCAAGCTTTGCTGTGAAGGGGCCAGTGTCTTACATATGTCACTTTAGATGAATGACCTGACTTCTCCAAACCTGCTTCCTCACCTGCAAAGGGGTGATGATATTAGGTGGTGTGAGGTACTGTTGAGAGCATCACGTGAAATGAAACAGAATGAGACAAACCTCCCTTCACAGCCTTTGTCCGGCACGGGATGTTCTCAGAGCCTTGGTGTCTCCCATTTTCTCCTCTGTTGTAGAGGCTTCCTTTGCTCATCAGTAACAGAAGGGAATTGGACCAGATGAGGTTTCAAGTTCTAGGTTCTCAGGCTTTGCCTGCTTCTCCGCTCTTGGATCCCCTGAACCCCACCCCCTGCCTGCCAGTCTCTGTCTAGTTCCTGTCTATGGTTCTATCTCCCACTGGACTGGTCTTCCCTTTTCTGTCGCCTGCTCCACTTTGATGCTGTCTTGCAGCTGACCACAGATCAATCCTCAAAAAAAAAAAAAAAGGCCTCCCTTGGGCTTCTCTCCCACTCAAGAGTCTTGAGTGGGGCCTCGTTCCTGAGATGAAAGTTTCCAGCCCCATGTGTGACCTTTCATGACTTGGACTCTACCAGACTCGTTCCCTGTGCTCTTCTCTACATCCCTGGCCATCAGTGTTGCTGTCCCTTGAGTATATATGCTTTCCCTTTTCTCTGGCCTCTGGAATGTCAGTGCCCAGTTTTAAATCCTACCCATCCTCTGGGAGCCAGGGCATGCGCAGGGCTTTCCTCGGCCCTGCAGTAAAAAGGACCTTCTTTCTGCAGCTAGCTCCAAGGCTGCCCCTTGTCTGTCCTGCGTAGTTCGGTTCACATCTAGAGTGGACTTGCACTGTGCACACCACTGGCCAGCTTCTGCCTCATATGACAGTTGTTTGTCATGGGTCTTAGCTCCTGGCATTGGCCATGAGCCTCTTCAGAGGACAGGTACCACTTCTTTGCACCTCCTACAGCATCATATGTGTTGAGTGAGCCACAAATTAATTAATTACATCAGTCAGAAAACTTGACCCTATCTGAGAAGATTTAATGGAAGGTTTATGATTGTTAAAGGCTAAGAAAGGGTACTAACCAAGGTGTGTATGTGTGTGTGTACATGTGTACGTGTTTAGAATTTTAAAAATAAAAGTTTCAAGTATCGAGGCTGTTTTATCAAAAGGCTTTCAAGTCTGCAAATGCCTTGGTCCAGCAATTCTACTTCTAGGGACTTAGCCCAAGAAAATTTTCTTGGATATCTGCCGACAGTGTTCCCTGGAGTGTTCCTTATGATGAGAAAAATTGGAGATAACCTAAATATCCTACCGTAGGGGGTTAGTTTTTTAAAAAAATAAAAGAACTCATGGTGCATATTCACAGCCTAGAATCACTATCTCCTTAAAGTGATAATGTAGAAGGACATATACTGATTTGGTGAAGTGTTCATATTAAGTGAAGGAGGTGTATTTGAAAACATGATATTATTGCCCTGTTTCCTTTACCTTAATTAAATTACTTAATAGAGAAAGGGTCACTGGCATAGGAACTGTTAACAATGATTATCTTCAAATGTTGAGACATGGAGGATTTTCATTGTCTTTTGGCTTATTCTGTTGCCTACCTTCCTATGGGAAGCCTGCTTTCTGGATTAATAAAATACTAAAGTTGGGATTGCATATCCCTTTTTATTCTTGCCTTTCGGGTAAATTAACCTTCGTATCTACATTCATGCAGTATTGGGGAAGAACACAAGGCCACTTGGCCCACGTCAGATGGTACAAGAAATGAGGGAACATGCTTTGTGTCCCTACTTTCTAGGTCAGGGTGACTGTTCTCCAGTATCCACTATTGCTTGGTGTCCTTGAGGCTTGATGCGGTAGGAAGTTGTCGTTACGTGGCCACTGAGCTGTTTGTTCAGACTTTGGGCGCCGGTGCTCTGCAGAAGGGGTGGGGGGTGAGCAGCATGGCAGTTCTGGCGCCAGCAACCTTGAGTCCTGTGCGTGCCCCCTGTGCGACCCTGGGCTCGGAGCTGTGGTTTGCACATAAGTAGGACAGGAATGGCATCCCCCACTGTCACTGTGTTGCACAACATCTGGTCCGGAGTAGACACTTCACGAATGACAGCTGACCAACTAGCTACTCAGATAGTCTGCCTGCAGCCCTATACCTAAAGCTAATCTGCAGCAACGTACTGAGTCTTATTTCTTTGATGATGTTGGTGATGATGATGATGATGATGATAGGTTTCCTGAAAACTGACCATATTGTGGGTTGGGAAGTAGTTCTGAAAATGATTTCCTTTTTAACTCAGACATGTGTCACCCTTTCTGTCTTGTCTCCCTTCCAGTCTGCGGGCCGGGCATCGATATCCGTAACGACTATCAGCAGCTGAAGCGCCTGGAGAACTGCACGGTGATCGAGGGCTACCTCCACATCCTGCTCATCTCCAAGGCAGAGGACTACCGCAGCTACCGCTTCCCCAAGCTCACGGTCATCACCGAGTACTTGCTGCTGTTCCGCGTGGCCGGCCTTGAGAGCCTCGGGGACCTCTTCCCGAACCTCACGGTCATCCGTGGCTGGAAACTCTTTTACAACTACGCCCTGGTCATCTTTGAGATGACCAACCTCAAGGATATTGGGCTTTACAATCTGAGGAACATTACCCGGGGGGCCATCAGGATTGAGAAAAATGCCGACCTCTGTTACCTCTCCACGGTGGACTGGTCCCTGATCCTGGATGCAGTGTCCAACAACTACATCGTGGGGAACAAGCCCCCAAAGGAGTGCGGGGACCTGTGTCCGGGGACGATGGAGGAGAAGCCGTTGTGCGAGAAGACTACCATCAACAATGAGTACAACTACCGCTGCTGGACCACAAACCGCTGCCAGAAAAGTAAGGATGATGTTGCCGTGGCTTTCCCCGTGTCGCTTCTCTTTCCCCTCCTCCTCTCCCTTGCCCTCCCTCCTCTCCCTTGCCCTCCCTCCTCTCCCTTGCCCTCCCTCCTCTCCCTTGCCCTCCCTCCTCTCCCTTGCCCTCCCCCCTCTCCCTTGCCCTCCCTCCTCTCCCTTGCCCTCCCTCCTCTCCCTTGCCCTCCCCCCTCTTGGAACGCACGGGTTCTGCGGAGGGTTCTGCCGGGAGGGCGTGGTGGCGCGGCCTGGAGGATGAGTCCACCTGTTGTGCTGGCTGGGGTCCTGGGTTGGCTTCCTTTTGCATCCGGGAACTCGGGACGCGGGACTGTGGCATGGCGGCAGTCAAGACCATTCAAATTGTGTGCTAGAAATAATCCACCGCCCTCTAGGCTAGGAGCTCATGGGCTGACCTTTGGCTTTGGCTTTCTGATGAGAAAGGTGACCGGGTGTGATTGGAAGTGCATGTGCCCTGGCCAGCAGGGCCTGCTTAGGGATCGACTCATTCATCCTTTGCACGAAACGATGTTTTGTGATATGGTGGGACTTCCTTAGCTCGAATGCTTGTGGACTGTGGCTGAATGAAGGAAACGTAAAGAGCTAATTCAATTCACATCCCGTGACAGTGGGGACCTCCACTCTCTCCTTGGTCCCCAGTGATGTTGTGATGCTTAGGTGTGCTGGTTTACAATGGGGCACCTGGCCAAGCGGGGAGAGCCCTGGACTGGTGTCCAGGAATCCCACATTCAGGCTGTACTTGGAGGTAGCTGTGTAGTGAGTGCACTTGTATACCCCGGGGCTTCCATTTCCTTCCTTCCCCCTGCTCCCACCAAGAGTTGTACAGATTTTATAAAATCACCTAGTGAAAGAATTCTGAAATGTGCCCACTGCCCTTGGGGCCCACGTGGTGGTATTCTGAACCTTCTTGTTTATTAGCAATGGACTCATTTTTTGCTTGAGTATAATCAGACTCTTGAATTATTGTGATCAATGACTTGAGACCCAAGTTGTTTGGTCTGAGAAGGCGTCTCTGGGTCTTTGCTGTGTTGTTTTTAGCGCTGTTTAGGTATATTGGCCAGGAAGATTCCTCTCACTGGTTGGAAGTCAGCATGGTAGCTATAAATAGCTATTATTTAATGGTTGGCCCAGTTAAAGACCCAAGGAGCTCATGTATTCTAGCTAGTCATGAAGAGCCAAGAAATCCCAAATTGGTAGGCTTGCCTAAACCATGAAGTGTATAAATAAACAAAATAAAGGCCAGACCCCACAGGTAGCTGTTGTTTCTGTTTCCCTTCCAGCCAGGGTTGAAGCAGGAAAAGGATGGGTTTTTTTGACCCAGCTCATACTTTTTTTGCTATCATTCCATCGATGTGTACATAAACACTCGATTAATGACGGAAGGGGTCCCACCAGCTGCAGCTAGGTTCTTGGATGGCCAACAACGCCGTCAGGCCACTTGAAGCATCCCTGTTGGTGAGGGCTGGAGGAAGGTACTGTGCTCAAGTCACATTTGTGATTGATTAAAACGGTACCCTATCATTAGGTTACCCACTGTTTTTGAGAAAACAACAAAAATCTCTTTTTAAGTAGTCTTGACATTTTAAAATTTTATTTTAAAAGAAAAAGGCGTCAGCAAGGGAGGCATCGTGTGGAGTGGGAAGATCTTGGATGCGGTAGAAGTGGCCTGGGTGACCTTGGACGAGCCTTCTGGGCCATGGTTGGGTACCTTTAGAACGTTCCTTAAGGCAGTCCTGTGTTATTCCTCAGTGGCGACCAAATGTGTGCGAAGCTGCTTTGAAAACTCACAAGCTCTGTACAAAAGGGAGGTGTTATTTAAAAAGTCGTTAGGGGGGCACTTATTGTTCAGTGATTCAGTCGACATTTACCTTGGCTTTATTGTAGATCGTTGGCTGTTTCTGACCAGCTGGTTGCTGGAGAAGCCTGAAGCAGGGCGAGGCCTGGTGCCTGGTAGCCGGGACCGGGAATGAGCATGCCATTTAAATTGCCTGGCCCTCAGTTTCTTCATCTGGGCTAGATCCTGCCTTTCTCACTGGGCGCTTGGACTATTAGAAAAAAAAAAAAAAGGAAAAGCACCAGAAAAAAGAATAGGGGTTCGAAATTGGGCCTTGGTACTGGTATGGCTGATGCTGACGGGCCTGTTGGCCGGACACCTGCTTCCCCAAGGCCGCACCCTGCAGCCTTCTCCCCAGCCAGTTCTCAGTCCCGCTGACGTTTCTCTGAGATTTTTACAAAGGAGTCTTTATTGAAAAGTTACCACCAGCATTCAAGGAAATTGTCTTCTCTTCTTCTGGGAGTTTCAGGAAAAGTCCAGCGGGGATGGGCAGGCTTCTTAAGAGATTTGCTAATTGGATCAGAGCTCTCTCTTGACATAGATCCCCTTCAGACCTTGCTGTCTGGCGTGGTAGCCACTAGCCACTTGTGGCTTATTACAAGCTCGAGCTGTGGCCTGGTCCAAACTGAGACCCACTCGAAGTATAAAATATACTGGATTTCAAAGATGCGGCAGGGTCCGGAGCAAAAGTAAGGTATCTCCTTATTCCTATTTCGTATGTCAACCTCATGTTGAAGTGGTAATATTTTGGACAGACTAGATTCAGTAAAACATGTTATTTAGTCGCACCTGTTTCTTTCTTACTTTGGCACCTGGCTACTGCATACGGCATTTGAAATCACAGGTGAGGCTCTCATTCTGTTTTTGCTGGAGAGTGCTGTTTTAGAGCACTCCTAAGGCCACACGTTCTCTGTCCCCCATCGTCTCCCTGGCTGAGCACTGTGATATCCATACCCTCTCCAGGAGGATGCTTACGAGTCATTTGAGGAGGCAGGTGAAGGACATGGAGCCTGGACATAGTGTCTACCTTGAAGTTAAGATGGCCATTTAGGACAGTGGAGTGTGGAAGGGCCCCATTCAGTGATTCTCCACAGGGCTGCCTGCAGAAGCAGGGAGAACATTTGGAGAGCTACACCAACTCAAGGATGCGTGTGAAATTTCTGACACAGCGGAGAAGCCCTCAGTCACGGAGTGCTGATAGGCAGTTTTTACTTGCCGCTCTCCCTTGTGCTCCTCCTTAGGTATCCCGACTGGGTGGTGGGTGGCAGGCAGCTTCCTAGACAGTCCCGTCAAGGAAATGACTACTCCGTGGGTTCTCCGTGCACTTTGGAATTTCTCTGTTGTCTTATGATTTGAGAGAGGTGGTTTTATGCAGGCTTGGGTTACTCCGAAAGGGTGATTGACCCTTAAGTCATGTACAGTGTTCTCCTTTATGTAAAAATGTAACTGGTGGTCCTGACATTCAGCACTGGTGAGTCCTCCCCCCACCCGCCTCCTGATATTGCTTCTCTTGCAGTATCTCCAGCCGCTGCTTTTCTGGCTCCTTTTCCTTGGTTTAGTCTTTAGTACCTGGTGGTCTCCAGACTTCCATCCTTGGCCTCTCTCCACCGCCCATGTCCCCCAGAATGTCCCATCTGCTGCTTCAGCATCCTTCCTTCTGCCTCTAGTGTGTAAATATCATCTTCAGCTTAGACCTCTTCGTAAGCTTTAGACCCACATATCCGTTCCTGTCCAGATGACCAAGGGCGTTTCAGGGTCTGCTGGTCTTTTCTGTCTCCTCCCTTCTACCGAGCCTTTTTCTTGTACTCCCTCTCTGCAGGGACGGCGTTCTTGTGCTCCGAGCTCCCATGTCAGAAACTTGGGTGTTTGGATGCTTCCTCCTGCAGTTGCACGACAAGCCCTTTCCATCCCAGATGTTTCTCAGATCTGCCACCCCCCACAGTCCCCTCTGCCCTTTTCAGTGACCTGGCCTCTCTCCAACCTCCCTGCCTTGGCCCAGTGAGCTCCCTGACACACACTGACCGACAGACTCCCCTACCTAAAATCCTGTAGTGGGACCCTGTGGCATCTCATGACACTGGGCCATGCCCGCGGCAAGCTGCTTGTCTGCCTTCTGCCTGTGGTGTCCCTGGTCTGTGACCGTGCTCCTATGTGTTGACCAGCTGGTCGCCCTCACCGGCAGACTCCTTGCCCCCTGGCGGAGGACTTTGGGACTTTGCAGACTCTGGTGGGCCTTTCCTGCAGCAGAGGAACCTGGCAATGGTGCTTTCTGCGCTGCTGAGTCAATTCTGGGCATGACCTCTGTGTGTTGGAGAGCACGGGTGTCACCCGAGGGGCGAGCACACACTTGCTCTGCGAAAGATTTATTGTCAGGAAGATCTATTTCCCCACCTTGAGCAGGGAGCAGTGTGTAATAACAGCCCTCAGCAAGCCAAAAGATTCGAGGATTATGAAATGCGGATGTTTCCTGTGTCACTTTCATGGTCCTTGCTACCTAGGAGCTCCGTCACCAACACCGTCTCTGGCTCGTCACTGGCAGGGGGGGTCATCTGTGGATGGTAGGAGCTCTTTTCTCTGCTGCCCTTGTCAGGATGAGTCAAGGCCAAAGATGATGGAGAAGTACAGAAAACATCTTAAAAGTTGAGCTTGGCACTGTTCCTTACTTTGTGCAGTTATTTGCTGAAAGCCAACCATGTGCAGGGAGGGAGCCAGGGCGTGGGGGTGGATTCTTTCAAAGTACCTGTGGTTCTCTTCACGCCCTCGTGAATTGCCTCGGTAGCGTCTGGTGTTTGCTTGCCACTGGGGCTTTCTGGTGCTTGATTTCAGTTTTTTAGTATTTTTTTAAGTTTTCATTAAAACTTTTTTAATGTTTATTCATTTTTGAGAGACAGTGAGAGACAGAGCACGAGCAGGGGAGGGGCAGAGAGAGATGGAGACACAGAGTACAAAGCAGGGTCCAGGCTCAGAGGTGTCAGCACAGAGCCTGACACAGGGCTTGAACTCACGAACTATGAGATCCTGACCTGAGCTGAAGTCGGATGCTTAACCAACTGAGCCACCCAGGCACCCCTGATTTTAATTCTTTTTAATGTTTATTTACTTATTTTGAGAGAGAGGGAGAGAGAGAATTTCAA